AGGCACCTGTGTGTGCTCCCAAGCCAGGCAAGTGTGTGTCCACAGACACACACACACAGTGCCGTCAAACACCTCCCCTACTCCCTCCATACAGGAGTTTGACAGGGAGTGAAAGGAATGGTGCTAGAACCTGAGCCAGAAACACCACTGGAGTGGTGACATAGAAGCCAGGATAAGCTTCCATTAACACTTGTGCAACTTGTCATGAGACTCTGGACATCCAAGTCACATGGTAAGTTGCAGCCTGTTCATTTCAATGGCAATGGTTCAAATCTTTGAAAAGGTGCCTGCACTACTTTGATCCAGAGTGCAAAGTCGGATCAAAATTGCACTCAAAGTCATACAAGTGTGAATGGAGTTTAAGTGTTTAAGGACAGGTAGGGGTAGGACCGATAGTGGGTTGTTTACCTTAATGCAATGAATGTATTAAAGTAAAAAAACGATTAGACTTTGGAACCACTGAAAGTGTGAAGGGTTTGATCAGGGATGTCAAAGTTTCTGACTTTCCTGGGCCACTTTGGAAAAAGAGGAATTGTCTTGGGCCACACAAAGTAAGCTAACAATAAGGATAGCTGATGAGCAGAAAAAGTCAGGCAGATTACAAGTTATCAATCACCGATAGAGATAATGTACCTGAGTGATAACACTTCATTTTTTTGGTAATACTTTTTATTATAAAAGTAAAAGAGGGCATGAAACTAGTGCGATATTTGACACTGTTTCTGATAAACTAACGCATCAATATTTGGTTTGATGAATATAGTACCAATTATCAATGGATTCTCGAGGTGCTCATCATAAATTTTGATTCTAATTTTGCCCTTCCTGTGCTTCATCCTTGAAAATAGTTTCTCACAAATATAGGTGCTGACAAAAATAGATGACATGAATAAGGCAGTCCAACTGCTCCAGATGGGCACATCAATACGTGCCATTGCCAGAAGGTTTGCTGTGTCTCCCAGCACAGTCTCAAGAGCATGGAGGAAATTCCAGGAGACAGGCAGTTACTCTGGGAGAGATGGACAGGGCCGTAGAAGGTCCTTAACCCATCATCAGGACCGGTATCTGCTTCTTTGTGCAAGGAGGAACAGGATGAGCACAGCAAGAGCCCTACAAAATGACCTCCAGCAGGCCACTGTTGTGCATGTCTCTGACCAAATAATCATTAAGAGACTTCATGAGGGTGGCCTGAGGGCCCTGTGCTCACTGCCCGGCACCATAGAGCTCGATTGGCATTTGCCATTGAACACCAGAATTGGCAGGTCCACCACTGGCACCCTGTGCTTTTCACAGATGAGCGCAGGTTCACCCTGAGCACATGTGACAGACGTGAAATGGTCTGGAGAAGCCATGGAGAATGTTATGCTGCCTGTAACATCGTTCAGCATGACTGTTTCGGTGGTGGGTCTGGGGAGGCCTATCCATGGAAAGACACACACCTCTACAGGCTAGATAGTTGTTCCCTGACTTCCATTAGGTATCAGGATGAAATCCTTGGACCCATTGTCAGACCCTACGCAGGTGCAGTGGATCCAAGGTTCCTCCTGTTGCACGACAATGCTTGGCCTCATTTGGCGAGACTATGCGAGCAGTTCCTGGAAGATGAAGGAATTGATACCACTGAATGGACCCCACACTCACCTGAACTAAATCCAATCCAATACCTCAGGGATATCATGTTTTGGTCTAACTAACGCCGCCAGGTTGCACCTCAGACTGTCCAAGAGCTCAGTGATGCCCTGATCCAGATCTGGGAGGAAATACCCCAGGACACCATCCGTCGTCTCATTTGAAGCATGCCCCGATGTTGCTGCAATGAAATTTCAGCAAAATAGACTAGTCTGTTTCATCATTTTTTCACTTTGATTTTCGGGGTGTCCTCTGTAGGTTGATAATTTTTAATTTCCATCAAACAATGGGGCATCCTTACATTCCTAACACATTACTCAATCCATATCAGTATAGATATCCAGCATGATTGAGATCTGATGTGTTTTCAAAATGTTCCTTTAATTTTTGTGAGCAGTGTGTGTAAAAAAATACAGACACACACACACTATACAGTGAAGGAAAGAAGTATTTGATCCCCTGCTGATTTTGAATGTTTGCCCATTCACAAAGAACTGATCAGTCTAAAAATCGAATGGTAGGTGTATTGTAACACTGAGAGACAGAATAGCAACAAAAAAATCAAAAGAAATGCATGGCTAACAAATTATGCACTGATTTTCATGTTCATGAGGGAAATAAGTATTTGATCCCCTGCACAAAACACGACTTAGTACTTGGTGGCAATCACAAAGGTCAGACTTTCCTGTAGTTGGCCAAAAGGTTTGCACACATCTCAGGAGGGATTTTGGCCCACTACTCTTGGCAGATTCTCTCCAAGTCTTTAAGGTTTGGTGGCTGACATTTGGCAACTCAAACCTTCAGCTCCCTCCACAGATTTTCAATCAGATTAAGGTCTGGAGACTGGCTAGGACACTCCAGGACCTTATTGTGCTTCTTCTTGAGCCACTCCTTTGTTGCCTTGGCCATGTGTTTTGGGTAATTGTCCTGCTGGAACACCCATCCATGACCCATTTTCAATGACCTGGCTGAGGGAAGAAGGTTCTCACCCAAGATTTAACGGTACATTGCCACTGCCCTCCATCGTCCCTTTGATGCAGTGCAGTTGTCCCCTTAGCAGAAAAAACACCCCCAAAGCAGATTGTTTCCACCACGTTTGATGGTTGGGGTGGTGTTCTTGGGGTCATAGGCAGCATTCTTCATCCTCCAAACACAGCAAGTTGAGTTGATGCCAAAGAGCTCAATTTTGGTCTCATCTGACCACAACAATTTCAACCAGTCCTCCTCTGCATCATTCAGATGTTCAGTGGCAAACTTCAGACCGGCCTGGACATGTGCTTTCTTGAGCAGAGGGACCTTGCACAGTGCAGGATTTCAATCCTTGTCGGCGTAGTGTGCTACCAATTGTTTTCTTGGTGACTGTGGTCCCAGCTGCCTGGAGATCATTGACAATATCCTCACGTGTAGTTCTGGGATGAGTCCTCACTGTTCTCATGATCATTGACACTCCATGAGGTGAGATCTTGCATGGTGCACCAGAGCTAGGGAGACTGAAAGTTTTGTGTTTCTTCCATTTGCAAATGATTGCACCAACTGTTTTCACCTTCTCACCAAGCTGCTTGGCAATAGTTTGGTAGCCCAGTCCAGCTGTGTGAAGGTCTACAATCTTGTCCCTGACATCCTTGGACAGCTCTTTGGTCTTTGCCATGGTGGAGAGTTTGGAATCTGATTGTTTGATTGCTCCTGTGGACAGGTGTCTTTTATACAGGTAACAAAATGAGATTAGCAACACTCCCTTTAAGAGACTGCTTCTAATCTCATCCTCCAGATCTGCTCCTCCTCTCCTCCAGTGCCATGCTGTCTAAATGGTGAAGACTGTAGGACATAATAGGAGGGTGAGGGCTGTGAAGCAGGAGTTCTGAAGTGTGGGGGAGGGTGAGGGAGGCTATGATGTACAAGGGAACATCTAAAGTGAAACAGGGCTCTGATGTCATGGGGGCTTCTGATGTAAAGTTATTGCTAGGAGTGCATTTATTCTTTCATTTATTAAACTGGATTTTATTTTGGCTTGAGAGCAATTTGCAAATATATGATGTGGCCGTTGTACTGAAAAGTTTGGAGACCCCTTATCTAGGTCACTGTAAAGCTTGTAGAAGTTAGACACATGCAACTGGACTTGTAAGGTCCAGTTGATTACAAGTACAAAACACAACAGAAAGGGGCTGAAACAATTCATGCCAATAAATCCAAGGGGATCTGTTGCTTCTAGCTTGGAACTCTATGAAGCCTCGTGTTGGAACAAACATTTGCTCCGATTGTCCATCCCCTTTACTTAAAATGTACTTGACTTCCATTCCCATTAATCTGGGATTCTTTACTACTTTTTTATGATATGTGTTCAAAAAGATGCCTCCACACCAGCAGATTTAATGGAAGAATTCTGTACTCAGACAAGTAGTCTCTATCTGCTTGAACATAAGCTTGCCTCTCTGCAGAAAAAAACAACTCACAACTGCCACATTCATGATTAGCTGTAGGTTTATACACAGGAAACCAAGTCTTATCTCTCACAATTATTAATTATATACGCACTAGGCCGAGCTCAGACTTTACTGGAAAAGGCATGGCCTGCTTATTCCTTCAGCTACCTACATTTTTTGGATCCGGTGATCATTCTGACCTGATTTTCACTGAAGGTAACCTCTGCTCATACCAGTTTAAATTGTTTGGCTTATGACAGCAGTGCATTAAAAAAAAATGCGGCATATGTGACAAATTATTTTTGCTCTCTGGTTTAGTAGGCTATCTAATTTAAATATTAGGAACTCTCACAGGTTCAGGAATGGAAACAAAATTGGCAGTCGGTTTTACTGACAGATTTAAATCACAGAAACATTTTTTCATTTGACCTGTGTTATGCTTTAAAAAGAGCCATGTATTACTCTAGAATCTTTTAGAAATCCATCATAATTCCATCCAACATCAGCTGCCTTTTGCAACTGTAAGGCAAATATTTAATCTTGCTCATACGCTTTTCTCACATAGACAAGGGGATAAACAGATGAAGAGCACAAGGTGGATGTTATGCTTTTATTGTAATTACAGAGAAATGAAAAGCTCACCTTGTAGAATGTACACCTGGGCACTTCTGCTGACAGCCAACAGCAAGATTAAAGAATTCACACACACTTGCCTGAGAGGGTCCTCCAAGGATTTCTCTTCATAGCTCTGTAGCAAATAATATGCTAAGTATTTAATTGAGACAACTAAAGATTACTGCTGCGCATCATTAGGCCTTTTACTAAAATGCATAAAAAGTAAAAGAACATACACTATATTGCCAAAAGTATTCGGACACCCCTCCAAATCACTGGATTCAGGTGTTCCAATCACCGGCATGGCCACAGGTGTATAAAATCAAACACCTAGGCATGCAGACTGCTTCTACAAACATTTCTGAAAGAATGGGTCACTCTGAGAAGCGCAGGGAATTCAAGCGTGGCACCCTGATAGATTGCTACTTGTGCAATAAGTCCATTCATGAAATTTCCTTGCTACTAAATATTCCACAATCAACTGTTAGTGGTATTATAACAAAGTTGAAGCAACTGGGATCAACAGCAACTCAGCCACAAAGTGGTAGGCCACTTAAAATGACAGAGCGGGGTCAGTGCATGCTGAAACGTACAGTGCGCAGAAGTCGCCAACTGTCTGCATGCAGAGTCAGAAGCTAAAGACTTCCAAACTTTATGTGGTCTTCAGATTAGCACAACAACAGTGCATACAGAGCTTAATGAAATGGGATGCAGCTGCATCCAAGCCTTACATCACCAAGTGCAATGCAAAGCTTCAGATGCAGTGGTGTAAAGCAAGCTGCCACTGGACTCTAGAGCAGTAGAGATGTGTTCTCTGGAGTGACGAATCACACTTCTCTTTCTGGCAATCTGATGGACATGTCTGGGTTTGCCAGTAGAACGGTACTTGTCTGACTGCATTGTGCCAAGTGTAAAGTTTGGTGGAGGGGGGATTATGGTATGGGATTCTTTTTCAGGGGTTGGGCTTGGCCCCTTAGTTCCAGTGAAGGGAACTCTTAAGGCATCAGCATATCAAAACATTTTGGACAATTTCATGCTTCCAACTTTATGGGAGCAGTTTGGGTATGGTTCCTTCCTGTTCCAACATGACTTGCACACTAGTGCACAAATCAAGGTCCATAAAGACATGGATGATGAGCAAGTTTGGGGTGAAGGAACTTGACTGGCCTGCACGGAGTCCTGACCTCAACCCAAGAGAACACCTTTGGGATGAATTAGAATGGAGACTGCAAGCCAGGCCTTAGGGCTCGTTCACACTAGACTGTTTTGCCAACGCTTGCCAAACGCCCCTATAGTGTTTGGCAAGCGTTGGTCCGGTGTTTGCGGAGCGTTTTTAACGCTCGGCAAACGCTCCGCAAACGCCGCATGCGCGGTTTAGCGGCGGTTGCTAGGCGTTTGCCGAGCATTAATAATGCCCCACAAACGCCTATAATGCATTTGAGTGGTGTTACCGCTCCGCAAACGCCCCGCAACCGCGTCGCAACCGCACACCGCAAACGCCGGCCGGGCGTTTGCGGAGCGGCACCATAGACGAGAATAGGAGGCTTCAAAGCCTCCTGACTCAACCAGAGGCGTCCGTTTTGCCGCGACGCAACGCGACGCAAACGCTCCTGTTAGAACAGCACCATGTGCTGTAATGTGCAGAATTGGCAGAGGCGTTTGGGAAGCGGTAAAAACGCTTCCCAAACGCCTCTCTGCCGCCTGCACACAAGGCTAGTGTGAACATAGCCTTATCGTCCCACATCAGTGCCTGACCTCAGAAATGTGCTTCTGGAAGAATGGGTCAAAAGTCCCATAGACACACTCTTAAACCTTGTGGATGGCCTTCCCAGAAGAGTTGAAGCTGTTATAGCTGCAAAGGGTGGGCCAAGTCAATATTGAACCCTGCAGACTAAGACTGGGATGCCATTAAAGTTCATGTGCGTGTAAAGGCAGGTGTCTCAATACTTTTGACAATATAGTGTATATCTAGCACAAAAAAGTAAAACAGAACTATTATTCTTTTTTTTTTGTAAATGAGTGTACTGGGAAGAACTGAGATGCCAAAACACTAGACAGACCCATGACACTGTGAACATAATATCTTTAAACATTTATATGTATAAAGCTGAAAGCTAAACCCTTCTATCCTTTTCAGCCAAGGAGGCTGCCAACTTAGCTTCGGTTTCATCTGCAAACCATCCATTTGATGGTTTGACAGTTTGGTTGAGATTTTTGGTTTTGGTTGAGTATTTGACAGCATTCCCAGCATGCTTGGAATGTAACTGTTTTTTGAAACCATTAAATCAATGAGTTTAGTTCCATTTGAAAGCAGAAATAAACCCTTCTTATCATTTTCAGCCCAGGAAGCTGCCATTTTAGCCTCTGTTTGTGATCAGTTATGACACCAGCCATTGAATGGTTTGACCCTCTGGTCTGAGAGAACAAGCAAATGAGACAGTTAGCATTCCCAGCATGCTGGGAATTTGACTGCGACATACAGCGGAACTAATTCTATGTTCTGTGTACTGTTGGAGACCATATATAATGAATGAGGATCCTGGATTTGGTAACACTTTAAGTACTAAATGGACTATTATAAAGGGAAAACAACATATGTTCTACTGACATCAATTCTGTCTTAAAGTGATTGTAAAGCCTAGTATGTGTTTTTTATTAAAATAACAAAACATGTTATACTCACCTGCTTTGTGCAATGGTTTTGCAGAGCAACCCTAAACCTCTTCTTCTAGGGTCTGCTCTCTTCTTTGTGTGCAGGTCATTTACGTGCCCCCTTGCTATGGGCACACGTGTGTACTCACACTCGAGCTGCTCTGCCTGTATCCATTGCCAAAGACAGTAGGGCTCAGCCCAGCCCTGCCCCCCCCGTTTCCTCCTCACACCATTTATATTTACAGCAGCAGGAGCCAATGGCTCCTGCCCAAGTCCCTGTGAGAAGAGGAAGAAAGGGAGAAAAGACTGCCAGGCACAGAGCCAGATCCCTGACATGCTCAGGAAAGTGTTTAGAGAGGGAAGAGGGGGAAATAGTTAGTGGGGTGTTTTTTTTACCCTAATGCAGGGAAAAACAAACAAAAAAAAAAACCCCAACATTTATGACCACTTTAATTTGTTTTCATATTCTGCTATATACCGAATGCAGATTTCATGCATCTCTGGACAGACTCTGACCTCTGAGCAGCTAATGGAGCTCATAAACAGCTACAGGCCGAGTGTATCCACTGACACAGGACTATACAAGTGGCAATTTTAATACAATGATTATTACAAGTGGCAGCTACTTATCAATTACATGTATACATCTTCAAACTGTATGAACACCACTCAAAGCATTTCTCAGAAAAAGACTGACCTGTAAAATTAGTTTGCACAGGCTGTTCCCTATTTTTAGATTTCCATCTAAAAGAAATTGCAGCGGTGTACTTGTGTGTGACTCACGAAAGCGATGATTTTCCTTCTTCTGCAAGAAGCACTGACAAAAACTGCAAGCTGGTAGAATAAAGATTGGGATGGCTTCCAGCTAAGGCTACACACTCAGCCATCAGGTCTAGAGAAAAATCAAAGAGTTAAGAAAATACACATTATCGAACCGGGGCTCAAATGAATTCTCATAAAAACAAGGCTGTCTGCTTTGGAAGCAGCAAATACGGTCCTCATTCTTCTATAAAATAGCATATTATCATGCCATTTGTTTCCTTACTAGTTATAAAAATTCAATTGCTCTTTAATTCAATACACTTTAATTGGTCAAGACAAAAATGAACATGCACATCCCACAGGTTTCCTGCCTCACAATATTGTTGATTTAGGCCCCTTTCACATGCAGTTTGACCACACTGCAGGTACAAAGCACTGTATCCACTGATTTGGTGCTGGTTAGCTGTGCTTTCCATTGACTTCTATTATCTCCCATGGTTTTGGTGCGCTATCTACCAAAACCCCTGCATACAGGACTTGCCCTTTAATGATTGTGTAACATTTTTTTTGTTTGTCATTTTATTGAATATGGTTGTCAGAAGTGATAAACGTGTGCTAATATCACATGCCAAAAAATTATCTCCAGGGTCCCTGCTTTTAGAAAATATAAAATGAGTGGTGGTTTTAGAAAATCTTCAGTCCTAAATTGTACATTTTACATGCGTGCAAAAAAAAAGGCAAAAACAGCTCTGGTAGTGAGGCTACACCTGAACCATAGAACAAAGAATGCTTGCTCTGTAAAAACTCTGGGTAACCCCCTCTTGGCACCTATGATGCATCAGGATTAATAAAAGTACTTGTTCTTAGAGAAATTATGTCCATATGTTCCCCTTTCTTCAAACCAAGTGCGGTGCATGAATTTGTGAGAAATTGAACTTTTTCCCACATCGCAAGAAAACGAGCTGCCTTCTGCAGACACACGCAGGTGCCATTAATTCTTAATGGCACCCCACACATCTGCGTCCACACTGTCAAAAATGCATAGTAATAAATGCAGTGTGCGATTTTAAAAATTGTGCCTGCCCTATTTTTGCGCATTGCATGTGCATAGTACATCTTTGCATAGTGGATGAGTCTGCATCTGAGGTCTGTCATCCTGCTGTATACCAGGCTGTGGGGTCTCTATACAAAAGTCGCTGTATATGAAAAATAGATCGTTTTTTAAAGAGAGATTGTTTTGTTCCAATAAAATGCGGGTTATATCCTGCTAAAATGTGAGTGGTCTGGAGAAATTCTTTTGATTGGAAATCACTACGGTATCACACTATGGTTTTTTCTTCTTCCTGATTTTCCCTGGGGGATTCGGTGAGAGAGAGGAGTAACCAGAAGAGGTATCCATATCCGAGAGGAGGCATTATTTGGAGGTCTTATACAAAGTAAAGGGGGTCCAGGAGCCCTTAATATCCCTGAAAGGCGTTTGACTCACCATTATCTGGTGAGTGCGGTTAATGTTGGTTTTGCACTGGTGGATGGTGAAGGTATCAAAGGCACGGAAGAATCCAATGAAATTACAATATAATTAATTTTGACACGGGACTGTTATTTTGGGATTTTTTGTCACTGGACTTATTAATTTTAAAATCATTTATTTATTTTTTCATTACTATTTCATCAACACAAAAGTGTTTTTGTGTCACAGTTTTTTAAGTTTGTAATATTTATTATTATCAATTTAATGGGTTGGGTGATGCAATTTATTATGTGGGTTTGCGCTGGTATTTATTGATACAATTTTTTTGGTTTTTGCACCTGTGTACAGCAGCATCTCACGGGGAAAAGTGTGTGTAATAAGAGAGTCCTGGGCGCTGAGGTTTTTTCTTCTTTACAAATTTGATGTGCATAGTACAGCCCAATGAAATTAATGGGTTGCGTGGGAATGTGCAAACAATGTGCACGCTCGGACACACCTCTGAAAAATTTAGGGGTGCTATTTACAAAACATTTGTTGCACAAATTTAAAATGAGCACATTCAATGCATATTATGTAAAACCCAGAAAAATCATTCTGCACTGCAGTGAAATGTTAGCCTTTAGTAAGGACATGAAAAAAGACTCCTAACTTTTCTTCAATCAGGGCCAACTCGCACCACAATTTCTGTGTTCTGGGTGGGTTTATGCATTTATGCTTTTGGCAAGCTTTTCCCTTTTTTTTTCTTCATCTCAATTGAGGATATGTGCATTCCAGTTATTTTTGATGCGTTTTGCTGCAGTCCAGATGAATTCCATACAGAAAAAAAAAGCAACATGTTTT